GTCCAAGAATTTTGTCTTCAGTGTTGCAAAGTCCCATGCAGTCCCCTGTCTTTCAGCTGTGTTTGAAAAAAATTATTTCAGGTGATGCCTCTGGTTCTTGTTGCTTGCTGTTAAAAATAATTCAGTTTCTCATCTGGAAGACAAGGTTTAGTGTATAAAACCTTTAAAATATAGCATTGCTGACATAATTCTGGTATCAGGTCAAAAAATTGGTTCCTCCTCATGAAATTTCATCTGGGATTGTCTTTGAATTATGGTTGTTGGTTTGTTTTTTGTTTTTTTTTTTTTTTTAAATTTTAACTTCCCGGTAGAAAATTAAGTTCATAAATGAAGGAAAAATCACTATTTTTTAATTGGTTTTAATATTAACTGAACAACAGTTTAATTAAGGCTGTAAATATAAAGGTTTCTTTATAGCTCCTCTGTATCACAATATAGAATACTACAGTGTAATAGAGTAGTGTAAGTTTTTTAGCAATATGATTTTGAAGTTTGATTTTTCTTTATTTTATGCAATTTTGTCAGCTGTTCAGTATTTAAAGTGAATTAAGCTTCATCTTTGATGTGTTGCACAACTTTGCAAGGGAAGATGGTAAAGAATCTGCCGATTAGAAATAATGAGTGGGTTCATTTAAGAAAATAACCAAACCAATCCTAACCCCTTAAGGTTAGTATGTTCAATACGTTAGTACTTATTTGGGGGCAAAGTGAGAAAGAAAAAACAGCTTCTCTGGTGTAGGACACCGCTCAAACTAACGTGTGGTGGCAAGTGCAAAAAGAAGCCTTACACTCTCCGTATTAATACCTGCATTCCCAGAAGCTGATACAACATCTTTGGAAACCTTTTTTTCCAGGAGACTGCTTCAGAGGAAAGTGCAAGCAGTGATGGGTGTCTGTTTTGCTCTATCTTTAGATTACTACTGTCAGAACCAGTTAACCAATGAAGCATTTAAGAACTGGTGACGTTAAATAAACTTTTGGTCTGTTTCACCTGGCCATATGTTTTGTATCACTTTGGGTATGTTTTCCATTCCACATCAGCTCAAATGCAAGGAGACAAACCGTGTGCTCATTTATTTGTTTTGAATGCAATTGTAAGTTTCATTTTTTGGGTGGGTTTTTTTAACAAGCAAATTTGGCAGAATTAGAGTTCAGTCCTGCAAGCTCCTGAGTTTACTAGAAATTAGAAGGGTTCAGGATGTCCTGCTAGATCATGGAGACCTGGGGAGTGCAGAGTGTCACCTGTAAGCCAGACTTGTCAGAGTTGCAAATAAACCTCTGTTAAACCAAGCTATCTCTCTGGAGAAAAAATAAATAAATCAAGTGAACGTCCGAGCCCACAAGCTGATCTTCAGGTGTTTTGCAGTAATAATGTGTTTTGTTCAGTTAAATGCCAACATTAGGTAAGAATTGGACTCATTCTTCAAGGACTTTGTATGGGAGTTTAGAAGCTTTATTGAAATCTGAATTTGGCTTGTACTTCATCCAAAGGTGTAAAAAACTTAGCACTTTACAAACATGAGCTACTAACAGATTTACTCCCACACAGCTCAGATGTTCAGACATTTTCCTCTGCAGACCCCTGTCTCTTAAGTTCACTTCAAACTTTTCAAAGCACGTCTTTGTGCATCCTTTTTGCCATCTTTTGATTTCAAGGGGCTGCATGGCCTGACCTTCACAGTCTGCGTACCAACTTTTTAAAATGTGTCCTCCACTGAGTTGCCAGTGCCTGCACCTCTTGCCTGGAGGTTAAGGCACCCTTCCTCAGTGCACCAGGAACTCATCCCACTGAAGCCTGATGGGTTGCGGTCAGTGGAGAAATGACCTGGGCACTGGGCTGTGCCAGGACACCTGGTGTCAGACTGATAAATTTTAGTCAGATGAATCCCATCCAGGGGAGTAAATGTTCTTTTACAAGCACTGTAAATATGAACTCTTAATATGTCTTCAGGAATGCAGGATGTATGTGAGTGAGTATAAAAGATCTAAATTTTTTTATTTATATTTTGAGCTTAATAGAGATACATACCTAAAATTAGTCATATTTCCTAAGGGGTTTATAACATTTGGCTTTGTCTAGCACCAAGGCTGTGATGCTTTAATGATAATGATAACTGTGATTAGTCTTGTGAAGTTAATTCCCACACAGAAACATTTATAATGGCATATTATAATCTTTGCTACAGATTATCTAGGTGTAACTAGTTCATCTTGGAAAAAAAAAATTGCGTCTGTAACCAAAATTAATCTGCCTGTAAATCAGATTTAAGTCTCTTCAGATTTTGAAGCCAGATTTTTCAATATGCTTTGCAGAAGGGTGGGCAGATAGAACTGCCCTTTGTTGCATTCCTCAATAAACCATCACATGCAAACAGATTAGACATAGCTGTCTTCGAAGTGATGGAAAAGAGATTAGTTTAGTAGAAGCTGGAGTGTAAGCAGAATTAGTAAAAAAAATAAAATTACAAATTATTACTTACTGAGTCTATTTCATTGTACATCTTGATTTCCTGTGAATTCTTCCTTCTGAAGATCTCCTTCAGCACAATGCCACCATGCTTTTTTGATACCAGAAAAAATAAATGCAGCTATTTGCCTTTTCAGTCATACAATTAGTGACTGAGAAGTGCTCAGCATCATATTTTTTAATCAGTGGTTATTTCATTTGTGTTTTTTTCCACCAAACTTTAGCTCTGTTCCTTTAAACACAATTACAAGTACATTTAAAGTATATTGACAGTCCCAGTTAGTTTCCTTCTATAACCTGCAACCAGAATTGGACAGGGGTTAATTTCTTTTCAAAATGGTAGAAAGAGGATTTCAAATGTTCTTTGTCTTAGATATGATGTACGTCCTAAATGGGGGGAAAAAAGCAGAAAGCATCAGCATTTCAGTTTGTCAGTAACCAAAAAGTAGAAGGCCTTCAAAGTGTACATAATTTACTGATCATAAAAAGTAAAGACAGACTGTATATATCACAATTTAAAACTACTGCAATAATGACATGTATTTAGTACAGTGAATTTGTGAAAGCAGGGAAATAGTAAGAGGAAATACTCGCTACAAACATTCACCATGACGCAAAAATATGGTAAAAGAAAAAACCCAAACAACCTCTCTGTCTTCAGTAAACTCTGAACTCTCATTTTTCCAGTCAGTTAACACATCTTTTCCTACAAGACAATTTCCAGAAAGCAGTGGTGCGAAGTAATATAGAAGATGCTCCATTTTAAAACCTGTGTTGTCATTCTAGGAGCACATGACTCATGAAAGAAAAGCTTTAATTTTTTTTAGTTCACAAACCTGTGGGTATCATGTATTTTGCACCAAGGAGTGGAAATTCCTGTATACATATATATATATACACACATTATGTATATCCATCTCTGTTTTTATAGAAATGTCTAGCAGAAGGCTAGCGAAGGAGTTATGCATCCACATTAAGCACTCTGCTATTGCTTCACAACATACACAGAGTGTATTCACTACAAGCGGGTATACAAATTTGTCCTGGTTTGACTGTGACAGAAGCCTAGGCCAGCCATGCTGGGCAGGCTCAAGCCAGCCAGGGCAGCTGACCTGAGCTAGCTACAGCTGTAGCCCACACCGCAATGTCATGGTCGTTACAAAGGGAGGAGGTCTACTGAGGAGAAGGAGCTCCTGTGAGGTCATTTCCTGCTGGGGTTCCTCCTGCTCCTCCTTTTCTGCTGAGGCTTACTCTGAAGTACATCCTGATGACAGCGTGTTCATTTGGCTAAATATTTCCTGTTTGTACCGGTGGTGTTTTCATTAAACCTATTGTATTTTCACCTACGGGTCTTCTCTCCTTTTTCCTGATTCCTTTCCCTGGTTGGGGAGGATTTATCAGGCAATAGAGCAACTGTTGCAGTTTAGCCCTGGTACAGGCTAAACATAGACAAAATTCATGTCTGGTGGGAGAGAGATGTGAAGCTTTGGGTGTTTGGCTGCTTTATAAACAATGGAGAATATCTGTTCACTGGTAAAAGTGGGAGAAGTGAAACTGATAGCACAGCTGTGCCGATCTTTGTAAGCACATGAGAGCTTCAGGGACTGTGCTTGAAATTATTCTTTCTGGGTAAAGAAATACTTTCTCCTTCTCCTAAAATTGTCATCATTTTAGTTAAGGTATAGCCAAGACTGAATCTTTGCTTGGTGTGGATTGACTTAATGTGGATACAATTCTTCCTCTGGGAAGCTGCTGCAAAAGATACACCTTAGCATGCATTTTCTCATCTGAGGAACTTTGCTAGGAAGGTGCAAATAACCTTCTCCATGCTAAACTGTGAGCTAGGGAAAAGCTCTTTAGAACAAAACTCTTTAGAACAAAACTCTTTAGAACAAAACTCTTTAGAACAGCCAAGGAAATGTCAACAAACTGATTTTTTTTCTGTTGAAAATCAGAGAAGAAACCAAAAAGACTAAGAAATACTTGTTACAGTTCAAAAAAGGGAGAAACTCTTAGTGAATTATATACCTTTTTTTGGTCTTGGTATGGAAAGAGTTGGTTTTTTTACCATTTGTTTTCTTCTGTATTTTCAGAAAGACACCCACTGTCAGAGGAAACAACAGTAGCTACCCATTGGTAGAAGGGCTGCCCATTTGCTCTGATGGAAGAGACCATGCTGAAGCACCTTTTTAAGATACCTTCCATTCTGAGCCTCAAAAAAGAACATCTAACATGATCCTGGGTTTAAATAACAAAGGTGGAGTTGAGGTGACTGTTTACTTTGTTCTACTGCCCTGGAGTTAGCTACAGAGCTGACCACTGGAAAGGCACAGTGCAGGAAAACACTCCTGTGCTGCCATACGGTATTTCACACCTGCATAACCATCTAAGAGGTATCTCAGCTGAGTGAAGATCGCAAGACTCCTGTAATGACTTGACCTGTGATGGAGGTACGCTTCTGGGAAACTGCTGGAGGCCTTCAGCGCAGGGCACCTGGCGTCTCTGCCCTCACCAGTCTGTGTCAAAGCTCGAAATGAACCACACTTGGACATACAACCTGAGCTTTGGTGAACCTACAGATCCTGTTGAGCCAAGGGTTGGACTTTCACGAAATGGGCACACAGTAGTGGCTGTTTTTCTTGGACTTATCTTGTTTTTTGGTTTCTTGAATAACTTGATTGTCCTCATCCTCTTCTGCAAGTTTAAAACCCTCCGTAACCCAGTCAACATGCTCCTCCTGAACATCAGTATCAGCGACATGTTAGTGTGCATCTCGGGCACCACCCTCAGTTTTGCATCTAACATCCATGGCAAATGGATTGGAGGGGAACATGGTTGCAGGTGGTATGGCTTTGTCAATTCCTGCTTTGGTAAGAGTTCAATGGTAATTCTCTTTCTTTTTTAACAGTGGCGCGTAAAGCAACTTGATCAGTGAGCTTACTGCTGCACTGTGGTAAACAGAAGGATAATTTGATTGCCTTGTTATGGTCAAACACGAGTGAAATGCATGGTTTAAAACATTTTAACAAAGGACTTTATGAAAGAGTAGCACAGATCTGATAAATATTTCCTAACATCCCATTCTTTGAAATTACTTCTTTTAAAGAGCTAGAAATGGCATCTGGAAAGAGGCAAGCCACTGGAGGGAGTTTGACTAAGTGTATGAACATATATAATACTTCCCTTTACTTCAGGAAAATCTGTGCCAATGCTGAAGTACAGGTCCCTGAGTGCTGCTTCTGTCGTGAACAAAGCCTCCTGAAACTATTCCATTTACCATTTGTAATTATCTATCAATCTATACTACGAATTCCCTCATGTCCCAGATAATGACAGTTTTCATCATTAGATGTTTTCTGTTCTCCCCCAAAGCAAAATCTTTATTTTAAAATCACATCCTTGCAGATTCAATAGCAAATGAAGTCACAGGAATAGATTTGTTGGAAATAGTCAAAGTGTGCACCAAAGCCACGGTGAAACAGTGTTCATCGTTCTCTCCCGTCGAGACAAAACTTTACCTACAATGAGCTTTTGCAGTGCTAGATTTAACTTTTTAACTGAAACTTATTTTAATTATTTTTAAAAAAAAGATAAAGGAAAAAACACAGAGGGCATCCTTCATCCCTCCAAGGTGGCCTGTCGCTTGAAGAATTACAACACCTAGCAGTGACTCTTTCTGCATTTATTCTTATGTTCAAAACAAGGTCCACTAAAGCATGAACTGGCCTGTGGGTGTGCATCTAGACGTGATCCTTATCTCACTGAGACTGGGGAATCTGGTACAGCGCTCTCTTGCTGTGCATCCTTGTTTTGGTGCCTCCAGGCCACCATAATGGGACCAAGCACCCCCCTGGCTCTTCCACCCTGGAGCTGCGGTGTGTCTTGTGCGGGCACCTTGGCCCGAGGAGTGCTCCCGCAGCCCTTGATGTAGAGTCAGGCTGCGAATCCAAACCCATGTTTTCTACCCAAATTGTAAGCTCTCAGTGTTTCCAAAGGTGTGGTCTCTGGTACCCTCCCCTTCCTCAAATGTGCTGCACTGATGACGGCTATTTCAGCCTGGCACCTTCCCCAGGGAAACTGCTGCTTGGCCCAAAGTGATCTCTCAGCAGTTAGCAGTGTTGTATAATATAAAAGCTCTGACTTGGTCATCTGAAAACACACCGCCTAATCACAAATACCTTGGCTTGTTTTGGCAGGCTGTTTTTGGTTTAGTCTGTGAAGAGCAGAACCACATGTCTTCTCCTTCCACGTTTCATATCCGGTTTTGTACGTGTTATGAATTCCAATATTTCACTAACTAGTCTTCTCGGGGAGAAAGGTTATGACTTTTTTCTCCATCCTTTGATTTAGCCTCCTTTTTATTATTTAGGGGTGGGATGGAAGAGTGACATTTCAAGGGAGAGGAGAAAAGGTATGGATTGAAGGGATTAGAAGAAAAGTGTGTTGAAGGTGCCCTTCAAGCCTCCTGGCTTCTGTCAGGATACCTGTGTGTTATCACCCCAGTAAGTGTGGAATTAAACTGGCAAATGGGTAAGTTTTCTTCTGGGGTGACTTGCTTAAGTCAGATCTTCTATACAAGTCAGATGGACGGCAGGAGTCCAGACTTCTGTGCTCTTGTGATACCTGTGTTCATGTGAGAGTTTCTGGTATAATTCTTAAAACTGATTAGATCATCAAGGAACAAGCAAGCAAACAAAAACACGAAACCCAGAATGTCAAAGGTGACCTAAGCTCCTCTGAGTGATGGTGGTGCTGTCAGCAGGGTGTCCTTGGTGGCTGAGGCAGCCTAAATGCCAGTAGTTATTGAACTGTACACATGGAAACTTCTCGTGACAATGTTAAAAAAAAATAACTCTTTTGCAATTCTTTTCTCTAAGTCTTGCAGTGCTCACAACACTTTTACTTTCACTAATGTGTAGAAAGGGCATACTGAAGAATTTTACTTCCAGAGTTAAAAAATGTTCACTGGAAAATAACATGAATAAAAGCAAATAATAGTAGCAGGTTGCCTAATGTTTATAAATCTCTATGGACAGATTATATCTGCTGATAAATACCATCATTCATCAGGTTTCTTTAATTTTTGTACTCCGAAGTGTGCTAAAACTGAGCCAATGTAGGCGTGCAGTGTGCGGATGGTTTTTCCAGGTCTTCATAGCACTTGAAAACAAAACGCCTAGGTATACAATATTTTTGTTATTATTTCTTTTAGATTCTGTGTATGCTGTAAGCATCACAGACTGAACGAGGATCCGTTGAATGGAATGGTTAATTTTTTTTATGGCAATTGGAAAGTGATCTAAGAGAGTTGTGAGCTTTTCATTGAGACTTGCAGGTATTCTTGCTAAAAGAAAAAACAAATAGCATCTCAGTCATTGTAGGAGTATTTTCCTTGTCTTCTGTGGATTGTGGAAAAATCGTATAAAACTTAGCAAATTGATACAGAAATTCAAGAGATGGAAAATCAAGTGTAGTTTGTGTCATAAGCTGGTGGCTTAGGGCCTCGCTGACTGACACAGTGTAAATACTGAGGATAAGGAACCTTTTCCTTAGCAAGAGGATTTTTTGACACCTAGGTAGTCTGGTTTACATCACAGCCTTTGGCCTGATCACTGTGACTACCTTGTGAGTGGCAAAGCTGAATAGATTTATAAACATAAATGCAAAAGCCACAAAGACTACAAAATAGTCTATGAGGCTATGGTATAAAAGGAACATATAAGAACACAGGAATGGCAAAACTGTGTAGGCTGAGAGGAGAACATTTCTTTGTGGTATTAAACTTTCTTGCAATCTCTTAGCTATTCTTAAAAAAAAATTGTATACTTTCTATTCACTAAAAATTAGCTTACCCTCCTTTGTGCCTCATGTCTGATTTTGGCTGTCAAGGCTGAGAAGGGTGTTCCTAATGCTCACTGTCCAGTCTAGAGATCATGGAATCATTTAGGTTGGAAAAGACTTTTAAGATCAAGTCCAATCGTTAACCTAACACTTCCAAGTCCACCACTAAACAACGTCCTTAAGTTCCACATCTGAACGTCTTTTAAATACCTCCGGGGATGGTGACTCCACCACTGCCCTGGGCAGCATGTTCCAGTGCTTGACAACCCTTTCAGTGAAGAAATTTTTCCTCATATCCAATCTAAACCTCCCATGGTGCAACTTAAGGCAGTTTCCTCTTGTCCTATCACTTGTTACTTGGGAGAAGAGACTGACATTCACCTCACTGCAACCTCCTTTCAGGTAGTTGTAGAGAGCGATAAGGTCTCCCTTCAGCCCCCTTTTCTCCAGGCTAAACAACCCCAGTTCCCTCAGCCGCTTGTCATAAAACTTATGCTCTAGACCCTTTACCAGCTTTGTTGCCCTTCTTTGGAAACACAGTGGTAGGAAAGGTGTGGTAGGGAAGGTAAATAAGAAGAACTGAAGTTGAATATCAAGCTTTGTAAGAACAAACAATTCAATATTCTTATCTGTTCCTTTTTTTCTCACGGGATGGATCCTCTCCTACTAGGTTAAACATCAGTATACAGCCAGGATTTTGGATGATGTTACACTAAGTTCACTGGCTTCAATAAAAATGCATTCTCTTGTACCAGATGAAGATAGGTAACTTTTTTTTTAAACTGCAATATTTTCATAAATCATGAAGAAATTTGAAGTGAGCAACTAATAACTAAGTCTTCGTGACTTGGTGGGTATTTGATGGTGTGTAAAACATACCTAATCCAACTTCAAATATTAAAATATTTGAAATATTAAATATTAAAATATTAAAAATATTAAAATATTCAACTATTAAAATATTTTGAAATGCAATTAATTTTTAAAAGGCTTTTGATAAGGACTGTATTTTAGTGGTTATTTTGTTCCCTCCTACTTTGTTTTGTGATGCTGTGAAAGCCTCCTTCAGAGTGAATGTATTACCCTCTGGATCTGTGGTGTGGGTGAAACCTGAGTCAGTGACAGTAGGAAGCTGAATTTTATTCCAAATGTGAATGCATAGCGAAAGATCGCTCTTTTTTTTCTCTAAAGTGTCTTACTTTTTTCTAAAATCACATCACTGTTTGCCTAGGAGGTCATCTGGAAAGCAAATCTGATTCTCCTCCCAGCAAAATTGTCAGTGCAATGTACATTGATGTTGCATACTGTGCAATTGAGTTCTTTACTGGGCAATCCATTGCCTACCCCAGGCGCTTAAAAACCATGACCCAAGTGCCAGCACCAAGGTGACTTGCCATCATCACAATGGAAAAAAATATGGGACAAAGTGTAGGTGTTTGGTTTGTTTACTTGCTGCTTTCCACACCTCGGCTTTGTGATTTCAAACCATTCACAGAAAGCAGAAGTTTTAGAAGCTAATGGGAAGTGCAGATGCTGATCAATAAGCATGTAATGGGGATTTTAAGGAGAACATTAAATATCATGAAACCTGCTATGGAAGCGTAACAGCTGTTTGGTCTTGATCTGGGGGACCGTTAGGGATGGAGCTAGAGGAGGAACAGTATGGGCTGTTCTGAGCATAAATGATTTTACCCTGGTGCTTGTGCATGTTTGCAGCTCTGTCAAGTAGGTCACTGCAGCAGAAACTGCACATGGCACTGAGTTGGGGAAATGGATGGATTTGCTAAATTTGCTCCCATTACCCACCACTTAGCCACGGTTTGACAAGCTCATGGTTATGTATTTAAGCAAACACGGAAAGGGACACAGGAACAGGACACATTTTCCCAGGTGAACTCTGAGTAAACTTTGCAAGCACGCTGAAATAAGAACTGTTAAATATATCATGAAATGATTAAGCATTAGAATTTAATTTAGGAAAAATACATTATTTAGTAACACACTTCCATAGAGAGCATATATGCAGAAA